TTTATTCTTTCCGATTGACAAAACATCGAAACACTTCATGTACAGTTGTTACAGAAAATAGCCCATTAATTAGAGTCAAACAACACGCTAGCATGACGACTATCCAAGATTTTAGGATCACAATCATTGTTAAGTAACTTACCAATTCACGCAACACTGGGACAGATTCCAATAACACGTGTGTCTATCCGCTTCCACAACATCGCGTTGTGAAAGTGAATTGCACGAGTTGAAGTTGCCCGTATGTTGATGACGTATGCATACATTAACATAGTTTTAGTCAAAACAGCCCTTCACACCGGGTCATAAGGTTACATTACCGTAACACACGAAACCGGGACAGATACGATGACTTGACTTCCAAATGGATTTAAACTGCGTCACATGACAGTTTGATTGACAAGTTGTAGACACCAGAGAAGGAACAATGTTCGCAACAATATTGAATGTGTTTCACCTTGAGGGTTGGGTGCAGCAGAATTTGTGCGGTGTTATTTTGTCTTGAAGTCTAGGGGACATATCTAACTGTCAGAGTCAACATTATGACCACCCCCAAGCTCAATCATTTGACGCAACTACACTGAGAAGAAAGTCAAGCATGTTCGCATGCTTAGATCAGATTCATCTGCAGACAGGATGAAACCATTGACTACACCAAGGTGCAGCATATGCAGGCCTCGACGCTTATTTCAGATCTGGTTGTCCGATGCGGCAACAAGAGCAATTTTTACTTGTCCGAATTTTGATTTTTACTTGTCCAAAATTTACTTTGTCGATGTACGAGCCGTTAATGCCTCTTTTGTTCAGTGCATATCATATTACAGGGTGTATAATATAGAGATCCTATATTATATAAATAGATACATAATAGATATATATACATATATAACTATAATATATATAATATTATATAAATTTTATTACTACTGACATTTTTGCCAGTATTCCCTGCGTGCATATAGGCTCGCACATACCTAGGCATGTGTACGTGCGTTTGCATGCGTGCGTGCGTGTGTATTCACAGTTACAGTATATATATGCCGTATTTACTTGTGTATAAACCGCGCTTTTTGTACAACACTTCAATTAAAAAAAATCAGGGGTGTGACTTTAGACGAGGCTAAGAAATCTTGTTAATGTACCAATGTTGTACCATTGTTCAATGCAAAATATGGGGTGAGACTTATAATATACATGAATTATACTGTGACGCTGTGTTTAGCAGTCTACAAATAGTGTGAGTGTTCTGCAATGCTACTACGTAAAGTCAAAGCCATAATGAGAGAGAGCCAGTGTACCATGCATTCGAAGTTTAATGGCAAGATTCGTTACTACGTGCTGTCGCGGTCGTGCCCTGTCTGTCGCTGGTTGAGGAGCAATCCCCCGATTTCTTGCGCTCCGCTTATTACCAGGCCCGACCGCGAACTACGCATGCGCCGCGCATGCGCGTTCACAAAT